TAATACTAGGTAGACTTCTGCCTAACCTTCTTCTCTTGGCATGGTGACCAAGTGCTGCCCCCTATTATCAGGAAAAATCCCCTTCACATCATGCCAGCCACAAGATGTTGGCCCGGTTAGGACTGTCATGTATTCATTAATAAAACAAATAAATTTCAAAATTCTGTACAGTCGGCTGCAAATGAGTAGCATGTGAAAGCGTCAGGTTTACCTTGTGTAGCTATATTGGTTTGATAAATCAAGCCTGCTAAGTACCGAGGCAAGCAGCTTGCTTAAATCTTGCCACTGCTCCATCCTGACAGGCTGAGTGCTAGCTACAAATCATTGTAGTCAGAAAATCACATTGCTTCAATCTATTCAACATTTATCTTGAGGGGGAAGTAGTGTGGACCACACAGTGAACTGGGGAAGGAACTGATTTAACTCCAACTTTGCTACACACTCTCCTCATGAAGCCAGGGCAGGCCAGGCCCACACCTCAGCCAATTCAATTGATTATATACTGCTCCTCTCGGGCATACTCTGCATCAGGGGGCTACTGTCAATAACAACAAAAAATATACAACTTGTATTTTCTTGGTTGCACAGCTGTGAGGCAGTTGTATTCCCTCTTTAATTTGTTTCAATTGCTTGTGGCCAGTTTTAAGACTAGTTTTAAATACCTGATAATGTTGAAAGTTTTGGATTTTCTTTAATTTTTTTCCTATTGATTTTTTTTCATGTATACGCCAAACATTTATTAATGTGCATAAAGTTTTTATATCAGCATTAATAAAAGGGGGTTTACGAAAAGCCTATTTAATATGACAGATAGAGCTTTATATTTTACCTACACATTCTTATTATTTATAACTTGAATTAACTTGTATTTTAATTTTGGATACTGTCAAATAAAAATATTTTTGTTAGTTAAAAAAGCAAAGGTTTAAATAAATTTTCAGCTTTCATGAAAAAAAAATGTTCTTAAAATTATTGGATAGATTTTTTAAAAAACCACAAACTTTACATTCTGATTATTTACAAGTTACCCGATGATTTGTGAATTTATTTTTCAAGTGCAGAGTTTGTAATTTTTTTCTCCCAACAAGATATACAAAGCAAAAGTGCAGGATAAAAAAAAAAGAAATGTCAAATGTCAGATGTATGAATTCTTGGTCAGTGAAACGGTCAGATATAAATTGTGGTCACTTCATGCTCGGTCAGTGTCGTCCAAGTGAGGCCGGTTGCCCTGGACAACCGTGACATTGATTGATGGGTGCGGACAATATATTGTTTTATTGAATAGTTAGCCTGTTAACCTCTGCAAGCTCTGTATGCTGCTTAACAGCCTTATATTTTGAGTTATCAAATAATTTGTTTTTTCACAAAGCACACTATTAATTTTAACATGTTAGCAAGAAAGTAGAATTCTGGGTAATTATGTTTATGAGCTGCGATTGTGTGAAGTGCGAAGTAATTTAATGTGTTATGACACGCCTTATTGTAAAAAAAAGTGTTCATACTTTGTGTACAAAAATGTTTGAAGTTAACACAATTTTCTTTAAAAATACTAGTCTCTGTTCAATTTTAAACCTGGTGATCTTTTTGATCTAAAAAGGGGTGTGGCTAAATCCTGATATACTTGTCAAGAACAATAAATCCCCAGCCCTTGGACATGTTTGTTGTTTTGTGTAATGGTGGTTTCATAATCTGAGCTTATTTACGTGCACCTGGACACATCTAGATCTATATATAGGCATGCATATCTGTGCAAAAATCATTATGATTCTCCTGCTGCGATAGATAACATGTATAGGCACAGGTGCACAGCTTGCCTGCTTGTATACATACTCATAGAGGTACAGTGACTAGAGACTATAAACTACATGAAGGCATGTTTACAAATACAGACACAAACACATTAATTTTTACGCCCACACCTGACGCCTTCTGATCTTTTCACTGATTGATTTTTGTATCTGTTTAAGGAACTTTGTTGTGTGATGTACACAC